GATCAGATTCTACAGGCCTTTCTTTCTAGCTTTATCCGGCCGCAAAATTTTTTTTTCAGAAATTTCCCATTTTTCGGAAAAAAGGAAAGGGGTTACATCATGAAATTTGCAAAAATCGGCAAAAATTCACATTTTAAATGGAGTATGCAGTTTTGTTACCTGCTAAAAATTAACATACTGCCGCTTTCCGAATTGAAATTAATGCGTTTTTGGCTGAGTTATGAGATTTTTAAATTTTGATTTGTCGAAAAATTTCATATAAAAATATTGTTAATATAGGTATAAAATGGTAATGGACCTTCAGTCAGAAGCTTAAAAATAAGTGAAGGAGCAATTTCCGACCCCATAAACCATATATATTCTTGATCAGCTTCTACAGGCCTTTCTTTCTAGCTTTATCCGGCCGCAAATTTTTTTTTCAGAAATTTCCATTTTTCGGAAAAAAGGAAAGGGGTTACATCATGAAAACTTGCAAAATCGGCCAAAATTCACATTTTAATGGAGTATGCAGTTTTGTTAACCTGCTAAAATAACATACTGCCGCTTTCCGAATTGAAATTAATGCGTTTTTTGGCTGAGTTATGGAGATTTTTTAAATTTTGATTTGTCGAAAAATTTCATATAAAATATTGTTAATATAGTATAAAAATGGTAATGGACCTTCAGTCAGAAGCTTAAAATAAGTGAAGAGCATTTCCGACCCCATAAACCATATATATTCTTGATCAGCATCTACAGGCCTTTCTTTCTAGCTTTATCCGGCCGCAAAATTTTTTTTCAGAAAATTCCATTTTTTCGGAAAAAGGAAAGGGGTTACATCATTAAACTTTGCAAAATCGGCAAAAATTCACATTTTAAATGGAGAATGCAGTTTTTGTTAACCTGCTAAAAATTAACATACTGCGCTTTCCGAATTGAAATTAATGCGTTTTTGGCTGAGTTATGAGATTTTAAATTTGTTTGTCGAAAAATTTCATATAAAATATTGTTAATATAGGTATAAAAATGGTAATGGACCTTCAGTCAGAAGCTTAAAATAAGTGAAGGAGCAATTTCCGACCCCATAAACCATATATATTCTTGATCAGCATCTACAGGCCTTTCTTTCAGCTTTATCCGGCTGAAAAAAATTGTTTTTCTGAAATATTCCATTTTTCGGCAAAAAGGAAAGGGGTTACATCATGAAAATTTGCAAAATCGGCCAAAATTCACATTTTAAATGGAGTATGCAGTTTTGTTCACCTGCTAAAAATTAACATCTGCCGCCTGCCGAATTGAAATTAATGCGTTTTGGCTGAGTTATGAGATTTTTAATTTTGATTTGTCGAAAAATTTCATATAAAATATTGTTAATATAGGTATAAAATGGTAATGGACCTTCAGTCAGAAGCTTAAAATAAGTGAAGGAGCATTTCCGACCCCATAAATCATATATATTCTTGATCAGCATCTACAGGCCTTTCTTTCTAGCTTTATCCGGCTGAAAAAAATTGTTTTCTGAAATTTCCATTTTTCGGCAAAAAGGAAAGGGGTTACATCATGAAACTTGCAAAAATCGGCCAAAAATTCACATTTTAAATGGAGTATGCAGTTTTGTTAACCTGCTAAAATAACATACTGCCGCTTTCCGAATTGAATTAATGCGTTTTTGGCTGAGTTATGAGATTTTTTAAATTTTGATTTGTCGAAAATTTCATATAAAAATATTGTTAATATAGGTATAAAATGGTAATGGACCTTCAGTCAGAAGCTTAAAATAAGTGAAGGAGTCATTTCCGACCCCATAAACCATATATATTCTTGATCAGCTTCTACAGGCCTTTTCTTTCTAGCTTTATCCGGCCGCAAAATTTTTTTTTCAGAAATTTCCCATTTTTCGGAAAAAGGAAAGGGGTTACATCATGAAAACTTGCAAAATCGGCCAAAAATTCACATTTTAAATGGAGTATGCAGTTTTGTTAACCTGCTAAAATAAACATACTGCCGCTTTCCGAATTGAAATTAATGCGTTTTTGGCTGAGTTATGAGATTTTTAAATTTTGATTTGTCGAAAAATTTCATATAAAAATATTGTTAATATAGGTATAAAATGGTAATGGACCTTCAGTCAGAAGCTTAAAATAAGTGAAGGAGCAATTTCCGACCCCATAAATCATATATATTCTTGATCAGCATCTACAGGCCTTTCTTTCTAGCTTTATCCGGCTGAAAAAAATTGTTTTCTGAAATTTCCATTTTTCGGCAAAAAGGAAAGGGGTTACATCTGAAATTTGCAAAAATCGGCCAAAATTCACATTTTAAATGGAGTATGCAGTTTTGTTCACCTGCTAAAAATTAACATCCTGCCGCCTGCCGAATTGAAATTATGCGTTCTTGGCTGAGTTATGAGATTTTTAAATTTTGATTTGTCGAAAAATTTCATATAAAATATTGTTTAATATAGGTATAAAAATGGTAATGGACCTTCAGTCAGAAGCTTAAAAATAAGTGAAGGAGCAATTTCCGACCCCATAACATATATATTCTTGATCAGCATCTACAGGCCTTTCCTTCTAGCTTTATCCGGCCGAAAAAATTTTTTTCAGAAATTTCCCTTTTTTCGGAAAAAAAGGGAAAATTTGCAAAAATCGGCAAAAATTCACATTTTAAATGGAGTATGCAGTTTTGTTAACCTGCTAAAAATTAACATACTGCCGCTTTCCGAATTGAATTAATGCGTTTTTGGCTGAGTTATGAGATTTTTAAATTTTGATTTGTCGAAAAATTTCATATAAATATTGTTAATATAGGTATAAAAATGGTAATGGACCTTCAGTCAGAAGCTTAAAATAAGTGAAGGAGCAATTTCCGACCCATAATCAATATATTCTTGATCAGCATCTACAGGCCTTTCTTTCTAGCTTATCCGGCCGCAAAATTTTTTTTTCAGAAATTTCCCATTTTTCGGAAAAAAGGAAAGGGGTTACATCATGAAAATTTGCAAAAAATCGGCAAAAAATTCACATTTTAATGGAGTATGCGTTTTGTTAACCTGCTAAAAATTAACATACTGCCGCTTTCCGAATTGAAATTAATGCGTTTTTGGCTGAGTTATGAGATTTTTAAATTTTGATTTGTCGAAAATTTCATATAAAATATTGTTAATATAGGTATAAATGGTAATGGACCTTCAGTCAGAAGCTTAAAAATAAGTGAAGGAGCAATTTCCGACCCCATAAATCATATATATTCTTGATCAGCATCTACAGGCCTTTCTTTCTAGCTTTATTCGGCCAGCAAAATTTTTTTTTTTCAGAAATTTTCCCATTTTTCGGAAAATGGAAAGGGGTTACATCATGAAATTTGCAAAAATCGGCCAAAATTCACATTTTAAATTGAGTATGCTGTTTTGTTAACCTACTAAAAATAAACATACTGCCGCTTTCCGAATTTAAATTATGCGTTTTTGTCTGAGTTATGAGATTTTTAAATTTTGATTTGTCGAAAAATTTCATATAAAATATTGTTAATATAGGTTAAAAATGGTAATGGACCTTCAGTCAGAAGCTCAAAAGAAAGTGAAGGAGCCATTTCCGACCCCATAAATCATATATATTCTTGATCAGAACAACAGGGGAATCTTTTTAGGCATGTAGGAAAGAACTATTTTGATATATTATAAGATATATGAGATCCCTGCCTAGATTGTATTATTTTCTTCTTCGGTTCTGTTAGCCCTTCCTTAGCCACCTTCCTTGGAATGAAACTCGTGGAGCTGGCAATTGATTAAAGTTTTGTGGGTGACTTGGCAGAGTCCAGGATTCCCATTGAGGGCGATCACGTAGTCTTAAGCTGACACAGGTGTGTCCCTTGGATGGATATCCCCCGATCGCAGTGAAGATCTTCTTTGTCGTCGTTCCTTTGCCTTACTTCAAGGTCTCAGAGCTTCCCAGGGTGTGGCTGGTCATTCGTCATCGTGGTGATTGATCTGATACCTAGACAAAGGAGTCCCCATTGCTGGGTCGAGTAGGAGAGAGGAGTAGGAAGAGCCAGGGGTAACATGCACATGAAAATATATTTGTATGGTAACCATTTAATTTGATTATTATTTTTATTTAAAGAGGGAAGTGCCAATAATTTTGCTTGTTTTGAAAATTGCATTTCATATTGATTAATCCCTAAAATAATAAGAAATGTTGTTTTAATTTTGAATTTCTAAAATCTGCTTAAATCTTGTTTTCATTTTGAATTTCTAAAATCTGTTTGAATCTTAATTAAATTAACAATATAATCCGAAATAGAGACAAAAAATTAATCAATTTGTAACATATGTAAAACATTAATGCATATTTTCTGTTATATTTAAAATTTCGACACTTCAAGCTTACAATATTATATTGATTGCTATATATATTTTTGATCCATTTAGTATATGTAGTATATTATAGTACTCCATATAAACCCTCACATTTTTCTCTCTGTGTGTCTCTTATGCTACGTGCTACGTGCCCATAGATCCGCGCCTTACCGTTAGACTTTGGAATTGGATTTGGTTATGGATTTTGGCCCACTGCGTGGTTCGGTTGGATCAGGTGGCCCCACCGGTCGGGTCGCAACCAGAGCTACCTGCTGTCCAAACCGAAGGCGGGAAGGCCGCCTCACAACACGTTCGATGCGAGTCGCTGTGCTGCGATGCGAAAAGAAAGCTGGCTTTGTTGTTGCAGTTGGAGCTCGATCAGCTGGTGGCCCCGAACCTGTGTCTCGCGCCCATAACTCTGGCCTGGTGGCCCCACATCCGCGCAGTCGAGTTCCGCGTCTTCCGAGCGTTGAGTTCAGCTCTTTAAAAGGCATCCAGCCGCAGTCAGCTTCACCCAAAGCGCGCGTTCCAAGATCATAAATACTATCTCGTTTTTTTTTTTGTGTTGTGCTGGCTTTCGTAATAATAATTAAAAATAGTTAATCCGGGAGTTGCCTTTTTGCATTTTTTTTTGGTTTGTGTTCCAAGTGCAAGTGGTGTGGATACCAGGATAACCAGGATACCAGGAGGATTAAACCCAGTCTTAGGTAAAGTTGCAAGTAGAATTCGTGTAGACCGAGAGAGAGAGGGGGAGGAGAGGGAGGGGGAGAGAGACAGGTGAAATGCGGTCGACAGTTGCAGAACATACACCGAGCACTTAACGGGGCCAATAATGATGATGACTGGCAGACCAGGAAAAGCCAAAAGTGAAGCCAAAGCCAAAGCCAGGCCGAGGCAATTGCACGTAAAAGTCGCCGTGAAATTGTGTCAACCAGTTTGGCTCCGACTTGGACCTCGTCTTCGACTGGGATTCCGTTTCGGTTTCTGGCTCCTAACTCTTCAGATCTCCATCTACGTAGCTCGCATTCTTCCTTCGCTAGTCATTAATTTATTTGAATTTGGCAAAACAAAAGAAACGCGTTCTCCGTTTTACTTTCTACAATGCCGCATTCTTCGCTGTCTGAAGACGCGAAGACGCGAAGACGCGAAGACGCGAAGCCTCGACTCTCGGGTGCCGTTGGCTTGAAAGTGGAACTGTCTGTCCGTTTGTTGCCCCAGCTGGTTGCTGTGGGTTAATGGTTAATGTTGCCTCTGCTGGCTCCAGAGATCTCTTAGCCAGCTGTGTCTGGCTAATTGCCAAAAACAAATACCAAGAAGTTTGACAAAAACTAGTAACGAAAGTCTTTAACTTATTGTATGTAATTTACAAAAACAATATTATTCGATATATAAATGTATTTTAAAATTGTCAATATATGTGCCATATTTTTATCGAACTGTTATGCTCGACATAGGTTAATTCCAACGATAAAGTATTGGAAAATCGTGACAGTTTGAGGTTGATTTAAAAAAAATATAAAAAAATTCGATTTAGTATATTAAAAACGTATATATTTGGATCAAAAGAAGTTAGTATTATTTTAAAACTATTATTATTTACCTAAGCATTTAAATCGCTTGCCATTTCTTTTATTATTTCCCTAAATAAAAATGAGTAAATAGTTAAGCCCTAGGAAATCCCAGTTTATTTTTTTTCCAACTTTAAACTGGCTAATTTTCTGGTCCATCGGTTCAGCCTTGACCGGAAATGCTGGCCCCCTTTTTCGGGCGCTTTAACCCTCTATTAACCCACGGCCCACGCGAATAGCAAACAAATCAAAAATTTCACCGTTGGCTGCATTAAAGAACTTAACCTTAATTTTGGCATGGGTCTCCTCTCCCACTGTCTCTCTCTCTCTCTCTCTCTCTCTTTGCCTCGTTAAGGTAACTTTGATTTTTTCTACCTTTGCCTCTTTTGCTTCTGCTTCTTCTGGCTTTCTGCTGGAGATTTCACCCACACACACCGAAGAAAGTGTTAAGCACACACACACACACACACACGGCAAATCGAGCTAAAAAAAAACAAAAGAAAAATCTCCTAAAGCCGAATCAAAATTATGCAAATTTTCGTTGGGTTATGCATGTGTGTTATATAAACCCACAAAAAAAAAACTAAAGGATGTAAAAGTCTGACAAACTGCTTAGCATAATCGAGGCGCGATGGGTTTCGTAATCAAGAAAAAGAGGAGAAAAAAGTCTAAAAAAAAGTAGATATTAATGATTCGAAATCAAAAGAAATCTTTACGGAATTTTCGCAGACACAGACACTTTCGCTGCCACACCGAATAATTAACAGTTCGATTTTTGGTTTCGATTTCGATATGAGCAGCAGCAGTGACCCCTCCCCTCACTTATGATAATTTTTGATAAATACAAAAAAAAAAAAAAACTAAGGCCTTACCACTGCTGTGTGCCTCACTTTCTATTTTCCTATGCGTTTAATAATTAATTAATGCTAATAACTTTTCACAACCGTTATAATTTATTGACAAAATTCGAAAATGCGCTCAAAAAACAAACGGTGTGCGAGGGAGAACACAAGACACACGTGGGGCCAGCTCTGGTCCCCTCCCCCGCCATCTTTCTCTCTCTCTCTCTCCCACTAACTCCCATCTCTACACTCCAAACCTGCCGACATGCAAATGAACTGGACTCTTTGTAATGGGTTGTACGGTTACGTATTGGAATTTCCAATTGGGAATTTTGTAGCTCCCCATTTGGGATGAGAGAGAAATTATGAATGCGTGTGGAGACTCTCCATTGCAGAGGCCAGTTCAACGGTTAAATCGGAATGTGTAGGAAAGATTAACCCTAGTGCTTACTTTCGTAAATATTATGCTTTGCACCTGAATGGATAATTAAAGGGTTAAGAGAATGGTAAATATAGTATGCAGACTGCTACAAAAATGCTAAAAATTAAGTAACTGGGTTTTAAACCTCAAGACCTTAAGATTTCCGGCTGGAGTAGCCTTTAAAGGAGACCTTTCCATAACTCATGGTCTACGCTTCTGGCCATTCATACTGCTTCGAGTAACTGGCCAATCTTATCAGCCATTTATTCTTAACTCGGACTAAGACTTGGACTTGGCCATGCCTCTGGCTGCCATATTTAGACGCCTGCACACTTTCTTTGCCCAAATACTAGCTGCGTCCACCAACTGGGTCACATGGCCATCCACACAGCCGCATCCAGTCAAGCAGAAGGTCATCTTTCAATGGGGAATGGGAATGGGAATGGGAATGGGAATGGGAATAGGGATGGGGATGGGGATGGTCGGGAGGCGGTGCCCAGAAAAATGAAAGTGGAACAGGTTCTCAGAGTCGGTCGAGATTTCTGTTTATTATTATTTACCATTTACCATTTACCATTTACCAAATGATGTAAGGAAATGTGCCGCATTAAAGGGGGGAAGGAGGGGGAGCGAGAGCCAGGAGATAATGGTAGGAATAAGACAGTTATGGACATGGGCTTATTACACACACTCACAACACACACACACACACACTCACAACACACACACACACAATCTATAGTCATTGAGGCAGGCTGAGAAGGAATCCATTTGAGAGAATGTTATGAATGAATGAATGAATGAGGGTTACTTTCACAGCGGATACTTGGCCACAGAATCCATCAGTTGAGCATGGTCCTATAATCTAAATATAATATTAATTGAGCATAATATAATATTATATTTTTAGCTCTAATATATTTGGAATGCTAAAAGTTCACTTAAATTATTTTACATTGTCTTAAATATCGTAAAAAATGAAATGTACAAAAATATCGCTCTTTGTCATTGAATATCAATTAATATTTCAACAGAATTTTTATTTGATTTATTTGTCCCTTTTAACTAAATATATTGTTTTGATATATCAAGTGGAATATAATTTATTTTATACATCTCTAATGAAAAGTTAAAATATTAATTTATGTATTGAACTTTGCTTAAAGTTTTAACATAGTATCGATATTGTTTTTGTATTTCTATATTCTTTCAAAAATATATAGAATCATAGAATATATAGAAACTATTGAAAAAACAAAACCAAAATAATAAATCATATAATATATAATAAGTTATCAATTTAATTACAACTGCATAACCCGCTTTCTCACAGTGTAGACCTTTCGACAATCAACAACAAATATGATTCTGATTAGCCAAGTAACGGTGCTTAGCACAACGAATAGGCAAAGCATAGAGAGAATGCGCTAAATCGTTCTTGTACTTAGCTTTGAGAGCACCTGAGAGAGCTTTGGAATGAGCACCACCTGCTCCATATATATGTATATATATATACGCATATTTATCGGTCTTTAAATAGTTCTGCTCTGGGTTTCTCCTGTGCGCTGTTGAGCTCCAGTTAAGAGCCGCTAATTGATTCGGACATCTCTTGGGTCGCGGCACAGTGAGTCAATAGCTGAAAATTTCACTTTGCCAGCGGTGACGGTGACTCCCAGTGCTCCCCCTCCCCCGTCTCCTCCTCGTCTTTCCCCTCCACCATCTCCGTGCCCCGGGGGCCCGTTAGAGTTGGCAACAAGCTCCAATGTTGGCTCTGCTCGGCGGAGAAGTGAATGAATTTCAAACGGCAAGCCGAGGCATTTTTCGTGGCTATTCTAATGAGGCTAACCCAATTCGTCAATTAAATAACTTTGCGGCCGAGAGACAGAGGAGATTTCACTCTCGTTTTTGGTAGTCTCTTTTTGGGCTGCTTTTCGCTTTCGTTATTATTATTATTTCTTTCTTTTACTTTATTATTATTTTTTTTTGTCCGGGTAGCCATTGATTTTTGGAGCTTTAATTGTTTACTTTGCATTTCGGAGGCAGTTGAAGATGCGCAGAGAGTGAAAGAAATTATGTCAATATTTATTTAAATCCATTTCTTTTGCGAAAAGCAAAAGGCGTGACAACAACAAAAAGTGACAAAAAAGCGAAGCGGAGAAAGAATGCGGTGAAACTTAATCGCTGGCCACTTGAAAGCGACGATTCGAACGAAGCTTGTTGACTTTACCGAAACCTTTGGGTATTTTATGGCATTGGGCTCTACTTTGATTTCCATTTCTCTGAGGGATTCACCGAATTTTCTCATTCATTTTTCCCTGGAATTGTTGGGTTATTCCGGGAAAATGTCCCAAAGCTGCAGCAGCTTCTGAGCCTCTCTCTCTTGTTTTTATTTCTCTCAAAGTGTGACTTTTCGAAATTAACTCTTTTGAAATTCCTTCACAGTTTGCATAATGACTAGCTATCGGAAGAACCTAATGCTAGTGCTGCTCCTGGTGGCCAGCACTGCCATTGTCCAGCTGGAGGCCAAGACCGTCTTCCGCCGGACGGATAAGATATCGGAGAACTTCAAGCAACTGGATTTGCCGCCCGAGGAAATCGATCCGAATGTGGCGCCGCCAGAGTCCGAGCCACCCAAGGTGGACGATGTGGTGGATGCCGCTGTGCCGGTGATCGATGAGAGTGCCAATGAGATAACCAGCGCTGATGTGGAGTCCACCAATGCGGTGCAGGAAGTGGCCACTGCTGCTGCTGCTCCTGCTCCTGCTCCCGCTGCTGCTGCTGCTGCTGTGGAAACTCCTGTGGCTGAGGCTGCTCCAGAGGCAGCTGCCGCCGCCGTCACCAAGCCACCAAAGGTGCCCAGCACCACGGCCAAGCCGCAGAATCCCATCAGCAGGTACTGCAAGTGCTCGGAGTCGCAGTGCGACTGCTGCCGCAAGTTCGGGCTGCCGCTGCTGACCAGCCAGGGTTGCGCCAGGATCGCCTATCTGGGCAACGACGAGATGAACGTGTCCCTGAAGTACGGCGACATCACCCTGGCCTCGCGCCGCATCTCCAGCAAGCGGGCACGCCCCATTTGCGTGGGTCTGCCCGGCGGCTACTCCGAGTTCTGTGGCCGCGTCTATGGCCTGTCGCGCTCCAAGGAGTCCAAGGACTTCAAGGCCTGCCTGGCCTTCGAGCTGCGCTCCGACGAGGAGGTGGAGGCCTCGCTCCGGGTCTCCTGCTTCAAGTTCGGTCCGGAGGGTCTGCGAGTGGCCGAGGCGGAGCCGTTGCCCACGAAGCCAGCGAGCGACGATGATGACGATGATGATGATGATATCTTTGGCTTTGCCGGTGAGTCTTCCAAATACAAGTAAATTATTTCATTTAATTTAAGTTAAATAAATCTTAAGTGGAAATGTAAAGTTAAATCAGTACGAATTTTCACGCAAAAGTGAAGCTTGGGGTGCATACTTGGCGTATACGTAATATTCATCTTATATTACGTATCCGCCTAGTGGGACCAAGTTTTAATTTTTTTTAACCCTTTTTGAGTATTATAATTTCTCGATAAATCTTTTTTTAACCCTTTTTGAGTATTATAATTTCTCGATAATTTGTATATAAGAAAAAAAGATATATATCAGTTAAGAAATGGTATTCAAATTTAAGTCAGAAGCTTGTAACGAAAGAGTCATTTCCGACCCTATATATCATATATATTCTTGATCAGCATGAACAGGAGATCATTCTGGGCATGTAGAAAAAAATATAAAATTTGTGTAAATTTTCGAAATTTTATAAGGGTTACATCCTTAAAATTGTGAAAATTGATAAAAATGTCAATTTTTTAACATTTTAAATGGAGTATGTAGATTTTTCAATTATTAAGAAACGAACATA